AATGTTTATCGGACAAAACTTGAAATATTTATAAACTAATAGTAATCATATATAATAATACGGATGTATTTGATAAAATAACAAATATGAGGAACGATATTGCGCCGCTTGTTTCTCTTCGCCATCGCGCTGTTCGGCATTTTTCGACAGTGGTTTTTCAAAGCCCCTGAGACTCAAACGGTTAACACTTTACCGACCGATAGCCTATTAATCGGCTTTTTGTCGCCAACAATCTTTCTCATTATTTGAGCAGCAATTTGTTATTTAATACTAAGATACCTTGCGTCAGTTGCGTTGCTTTGTAAGCTGCCACAGTTTTGTATCAATTTGAAAAACACCGTTCGCGATGAACGAAAAGAATGGTATCGGATAGTCTAAACCGAAAGTGAGTTGTTGAACCGCTGGCGGTCAGTAAAGTGTTAAGATTCCGTAGTCTTTGAGTAAACCAACAGATGGCCGTGAATCTCTGCGCGAAATTAGCCTAAAGATCGCGAGGCACGGTTCCAACGTCGTTTCGTCTGAAAATTCGATTCGCGGTTTGGAGAAGCGGATGAACGAGACCAAGAGGGAAAGTTGCTTTCACGGCGTATAAATAACGATCCGCAGGATCAAGGGAACCGCGAAGGAACGAAGGGCGAAAGTGAAGAACTGTAGGACGGGTGCGAGGATAAGCGTCGCTGAGATAAGGCGGAAGCGCGATTTTAAATTATCCCTCGTCCGTCTCTGTCCGCGTCCGGTTAGCGGCGTCTGATCGCGATTATCGCGTTTCCTCCGCGAAACCTCCCCTTCATCCTGTTTACGCCAACTCCATCGAATCCATGGAAACGAAACAACTTTTACCGACGCGAGATCGCGAAATCGCGCAAGTTGCAAAGTTCGTTCCGCGACGGCGCCGATCAGCGTCACCGCGATTTACGATTTATTTCCGTCTTGACGCGAATCCTTATCGACGTTGAAATCCCGATGGGCGAGATTCGACGGACGAAGCTAATTATCTTCGTCTGATTTCGACGATGTGCTCCTGCGCGTTCCAAACGTACGACTCTGAATACGATTCGCGGAGCCTGCACAAATATTAGATAATAATAAATACCAAGCTGCGTACGCAAAGACGAACGAAATTATCGATACAGAGTGAACTTGCCCCTAAGATATTTGTAGAAATCCGTGGAAATATAGGTAGGATTCTTTGCGAGACGTAACGTTAAGAGACGCAGGTTCGCGGTAATCCGTAATTTTCCGAGGCGAAAGCGAGTAGACGCAGCACGTATTTCCCATAAGCGTCAGAGATCCGTGTCTGTACGCGTTCGGTGCAACACAACCACAGAGATTTCCTATCGATGTTAGATGCTTCGCTGCAATACGTGTACGACATCTTCCGCTACGGAACACGCTTTCAAATGGTTTTCAGCTGTTGCGTTCGCGTGAAACGTACGCGTCCCACGCAAATACACGGAACCTCACCTTAACGTATTTAAGCGTAGCAGCTCGGTTGCTGCTTCGTCGGTCGGTGAGTCAGTGACTCGTAGTCGTCCGACGTGCAAGAGCTACAAAAACCTTACCCTCGGCGATGTCGATGAACAGGGGTGGGACCGAGTCGACGCGATATCACGAAGAAGGAGAAGGTTCAAATTTACGATTCCTATTAATACTTTGGAAGATTTCGGGAC